TGCCTACTTGGTGTTCAATGCTTTTGCTGTGTAATTATATTGTCTTCAACGTTCCAGCGAATAGGTTCAAGCTACAAACCTATCAAGGTACACCCATAAAGGTGATTCTGATGCCACACAGAGTCACGTCACGAGGTCGTCTGACTGCTCTCTCTCTCCCACCTGCTCCTGTGTTTCTGTGGCCACGCTCTCTGACCTCTCCTTCCTCCTCCTTCTCCTCCTCCTCAGCGCCAGCAGCAGCAGGACGGCAGCGAGCAGCAGGAAGACCAGAGGCGAGATGGAATGAACTCTGTGAGAGTACGATGACTCCGCCCTCCAGTTTACCCTCAGCCGGTTGTCCAGGCTCAGGTGAGACGCCTCACAGGTGTAGTTGTGTTTCCTCTGCAGCTCCTTTTCGTCGACCATCAGTGTCTTCCTCACTTGGTAGAGGCCGTTCCCATTGGGCAGCACCGAGCCGATGCGCAGCTCGCCTTCGTCCACGGGCTGGCCGTCCCGCAGCAGGCTCAGGTTAATGTGGCGAGGGTAGAAGTCAGTGGCCAGGCAGGTGACCTGAGCCCCGCCCACCACTTGCCTGGTGATAAAGCGGAGTCGAGGCTTCACCCTTCGCATCACAAGGTGCTTCTCGCGCTCCAGGAAGTGTTGGAGCGTCCGCACACAGAACGGTAGATATATGTTTGAATACAGCATCTGGAAGGATGTTTTCTTTAGGGCGTCCCACTGGATCTCCCAGCCTTCCCTGACAGCATACGTGAAGTGGGTCATGTTGTAGAGCAGGCTGTCGGCGTCCTGCCCGTTGGAGCCGTCTCTGAACATGATGAGTGCCGGCTGGCCGTCCTCCAGTACCTCGCAGCCCGTTACCCTCTGCTGGACATGAACGCCATCGATGGTCAGGTTAAAGTGATGCTTCACCAGATTCAGCCTCTTCTTCATGCTGGAGTAAATGTCTCGTAGCACAGTCACGGGCTCCTGGCCCAGGTTGAGTTCCGCTTCGTGGTCAGATGCCGTGCTCGCCCTCATCACCCGGTCGACCTTTGAGTCATAGTATCCCACCTGGATGTCATCCAACATCAGAACAACAGTGAACTCTGGGAAGTGGGCAGAGCCTGGGATGTAGGAGGCAAGCGCCCAGAGGGAGTGTCGTCCTGTGCCTGATGGAACAAATTTACAACAATGTTACTTAAAATAACGTAAAACTTCAGGCTAATGTTCCCAAAGCTCCCGACCTCTGAGCTCTACCCTTCCCCACTACTGGCTCCTGCTGAACCCGATTATCATGCCATTGGCTGAGGTCGGAGTCCTGCAACCAGTGGCTGCTCTCCGTGGCCTGTGTAAGAACAGTGGTTGTTGTGTTGGTGTGTTAGCCTTGTTTGAGACATTTCATCCCAGAAGCGTGTTCAGTTCTAAAACCAAATGGTAAAAAGTCCCAGGTGCTTCATGTGCTTCATCACATGAACCATTGTAAAAAAAACAAAAGCATGTAGGTCATTATCAGGTTTTGGGTGAAACCATTGTTTCACTCTATATCACAGGTGTCAAACTCCAGGCCTCGAGGGCCGGTGTCCTGCAGGTTTTAGATCTCACCCTGGGTCAACACACCTGAATCAAATGATTAGTTCATTAGCAGGCATCTGGAGAACTTCAAGACATGTTGAGGAGGTAATTTAGCCATTTGAATCAGCTGTGTTGGATCAAGGACACATCTAAAACCTGCAGGACACCGGTTCAGTCCATGTTATTATTGTGTTTGAGGGTACAGTTGTGCCCTCGAGGCCTGGAGTTTGACACCTGTGATATAGAGTGAAACAATGGTTTCACCCGAAACCTGATAATGACCTACATCACAGGTGTCAAACTCCAGGCCTCGAGGGCACAACTGTACCCTCAAACACAATAATAACATGGACTGAACCACCACTCACAACCACCAGCACTTTATACAGCCTCTGTAGAAACTATCTACACCCTCACTTATCTTAACTGCACTACTGTATAGCTCTGTGTAAATAATCATTCTGTACATACGATAATCTTTAATCCTACAACTGTTTACAACTTTCATAGTTCCCATTTCTGTATAGCTGTATATCTCAGATTTCTGTAAAGTTATTTATTTCATATTCTGTATAGTTTTTCATATTTATATCCTGTTCATAGCCTGTACATACTTATAGTTATAGAATATTCACAACATACTTCATACCGTGTACATTATAACATACCATAATAGA